TGATTTTTGGGGTCATATTTCTGAAAATAGGAACCCACAACAGTTCTGATTTTGTTTTCCTCTAAGACTTCCATGACCTCAATTTTAGTCAGAGTGGTCATAGTTCATTATGAAACACCCATGGTGGACACCTTCCATTAATTGTGCTTGATACATTCTTTTCCATGGCTATCATGTTCCTCTGACCTATTTATTTCCTTTTAGATGGGAGACACCTCATACAGGAACACACACATTTATCTTTTAGATATACCTTAGCAACATTTTAGAGCTGTTTTGTGACCCCCAAAAATATTTTCTGTGGCAATCTGTTATCTAGTTTTACTTTTTAAAACAATGAGTGTCCAGATCTCATGCTTTCCCCATCAAATATTTTTTGAAAAGAATTTACTGTGACTCACTTTTCTTAATCCACGCTTTAAATCTTTTATATTTTCTTATTTTTTCACATTTACATATGCATGTTCTATTAACCTAGAATCATTACACAAATGGAGCTTAGTATTTATATAGGATTTTAGAATGGATGGGAATATATTCACTTTTTAAAAAAAAAATCTTGCTTAGTATTTAGGATTCAGGGGAACTCTGTTTAAAAGACAGTTGTTTTCAATATTTTGTTTCCTTTGTGTTTTAGTAAAACTGCATGCTGAGAATTGCTTGATATAACTTAATTAATTATAATCATATCTGATGAATAAAGGCAATATTTTTTAATTCTAAAGTTTTAGATTACCAATTTTAAAATCATTCTACTAAACCATAGGTGAGTTAGTATCTTAAGTGAGTAAAACATTCTGTTATATCTATTCCTTAATTCATTGTTATGTGAATTAATTAAGATATTTAATCAAGCCTCACAGATGAAATGCTAAGAATATATCTTGCTAACCTTTCTGGTTTTGAGCAAGCTACTTGCTCATTTCTTTTAAAAAATGTAAATTATAAGGGCACTGTACAAATACTAGAAAATATCATCTATACTCCATTTAATTACTTAACTGAAATCCTAGAGCTTTACTGTCTGAAAACAAAAACTAAAATGGATACAGATCTCTGGAGGCATATTTTGACGTTGTGATAACCATCACTTTGCTATATTTGCTTATATGTTTTTAACTAAATATATACACATCACATACATACAATACATATGTACTAGGATGACATTCTTAAAAAATTTAAGAACAATTAATATCTCATTATAGTTTAGTGAAAAAAAAATGTTAAAAATACTCCATTACTGGCAGTGACTAATAAACATACAACAAATGTTTGCATATTGTAAGGTGCCTATTTTTAAATATGAAATTTTTAGATTGATGGTGTTATTGGAGGAAGACCGGGACCAGGGTGGGTCTGCCCAACATAGTCTTGAAATGGGATTCTTCTGCAGTACTGCAGGAAAGGAACTTTAAAGTCCCATGTAGGAAGATTTTAAGCCGCAGGGGCAATATTTATTAGAGTGAAAGGAGATAGTATGCCCTCGGAGAGGCGGAGGGGGGGCAGGCTATGGTAGCAGCTCCGTGGACAGAAGCAACGGAGTGTCCTCTGCTGCTGCTTGCTGTTGCCCTGGTTGCAAGTTTGGTGGGAAACCTTAGAATTTAGGAGAAAAAAGGCAAAAAAGTACGTGCCGAGAGAAGGGCATGGGCATGCTCAAGGAGGGCACGTGCTGGGTTCTTTGTTTAGCGTCCATATATTCCCTTGGATTTGGAAAGAGCAGACTTTCATTCAAACAACCCAGTCTCTTTCTTAGCTCTATCAGGGCTGTGCCTGGGTCCTTCCTCCAGCCAGTCTCTTTCCAATCTGATACTTTCCCAGGCCAGTGCCCTCCTCCTTTTATGGTCAGCATTTGGCTCCTTCTGTGCATGCCTTATGCTTCTGCTGTGTCATTCAGCTTCTACTGAGCATGTGCTCAATAAAAGGAATCCCTCTGCACTGTCTTGGCTTCTACCATGCATGTGCTCAGTGAAAGAAATTTCCCTTGGCCATTTCCTCCCTCCCCACCCCATTAATCTGGTAGAACAGTGCAGGCTGTTCCCTGGGGTGACCGAAAAGTGTCTTTCCTGCTCTTTGGATGCCCCTAGTGACTGTGAAACTGTTCTTTCCTTGTTAATCCGGAATAACCAGATGTCTGGTTTCAGTTGCTCCCTTTTTGTGAATGTCTCGCTAACTGCCTACTGTAATAACAGTTTTAAACGGCCATTTAGGAATATTACAATTATTGGTATTTTGTGATATAGAAATTCACTAGATTAATAGTTTTCTTTCTGTTGAGCTGAATCTTTAGGAAAGATCATCAATTCAGCAACTTTTTCTGGAGAAAGATGCAGACATATCAAACATTGATATAGCCCTCGTTGTACTAGTGCTTTCACATAATGAGTCAATCTGGAATTAACATTTTAAGTCCAAATTAAGTCCATTTGTTTTAATTTGACAGGCAGGAAATGTGGACCTCTCTGTAAGATATCCTTCTCTTCCTACTAGCAGGAAGCTTCATAGAAAACTTTGCTGAACTTTCAATCTTTCCCCATCCCCAACCATTCTTGGCTAGGCATCCCTCAATTGCTCCCATGGTACCCTGTACTTAACTATTCCATACAGATTACAACACTGCTGAATTGTTATTGCCTGTTTATTGCTCTCCTCCCTTTCCCCCCAGTAGTTGAAGAGCAAGAATATGTTATGTTAATCCAAAGATGAACCCATAGAATAACACACATTGGCACCCAGTATTGTTAAAAAATACATCAGAATTCTATATCTGGCTGCATATACATAGTTTCAAAACAAGGCCGCAAGTGAGATGATTAGTTTTACAACTACTGTCTCTATGTACTTTCATTTATGTACTTAGATTTAGAAACTTGAATCTTAATTTCTCCTGAAACTAGCAATAGTGTCAGTTTGAAGCTCATTTTATTGGTAATTTGGCTTTTGATAATTTAAAATGCATAGTTGTTTTCTTCTATAACAGCATATTTTTACATTTCCTTGATAGTCTACTTGCAACCTGATGTTTATATTCCTTAAAAGGTAAGTAGCTTGTTGTATTATCAATTTGTCAACATAATATTGTCACGAATAATTATTTTTATAGGAGATTAAAAGAGATACAACGAGTGGCATTGCCATAGTTTATGAATGAGTAGAAATATATTGTAAAACTGCCCATGCTTTCAGTAGTGTGGGTTGGTTTCTCAGCACTGTAATGAAATCATCTGAAATCCATTAAAATCCAGTTGGAACCCATGAAATTCAAAAGACAGAGAAACCATTTAATCCGCATGTGGCATGACAGAGAACAAGAGAATCTTACATGGTGCCAGTGATTAGAATCCCAGCCCAGTAGTCTTCTCAGGTTTGTGGTCTCTTCATCTACTCCTTCCTTTGTAGAAGAGACCCTTGAGATTTAGGTTTAATTCTCACCAGTTTTAACATAATCCCCAAATGCCACGGAAATATGCCCCATCATTGCTAAATTGGTTTCCTCTAACTTAGTCACTTATTTGCATGTTTAAGAGATTATCCAAGGAACCTACAAAGGTGTATCCACCCCCTCTTTCAAAATCTGTTATTCAAGAGCCCTAAAAACATTTACTTCCTTTACCACCTTGCCACATCCTTTTTCAAACCTTTTTTTTTTTTTTTTTTTTGTCTTGGGTTCTGAAGTCAATTATCCTGTTTGAGGCTGGTGAATAAGAACTATTCACAGAGCTTTCACTAACCCAGCAGATTAAGAGTCTCTCTGAGTATTTCCAGTGCTGAAAAACTAGGTTGAATAGAATAATACTTAAGTGAAATTTTTTGAATAAAAATTATATTTTTGTATGCATACCCAGATAACTGTGACCTTAAGTACTATAATATTTTCTCTTTTTAAGATGTTAAACACAAAGTTTTATTATTTTGATGTGATTAGGTAACATAGTTGGAAGCATTAAGAGCAAAGCATGAACCACAAAGACACAAAATGAAAAAGAATAATTTAGGCATTGATTTGAAGAAAAAATGGACTTGCAGAGAATAGGGGGATATAATTAGAATTTTAGTGAGCACTTGTTACTAAATTGAACTATATACCGTTTTACATGAAAAACAAGTCTGGGATTTTAGAGTAATCCAAATCAGAGTTGATTAACAGTGGACTGTTGTCAGCCAAGGAAAAACAGCACAACTAATTAAACAAAACAGAAAGACAAAGAAATCATACAACTCTTTGGGTTCTTTATTTTGCATGTCAGGATGTGAGGAGAAGCAGCCTGTAAGAGGAAATGATGTTGATGGCAACTTGAGGCAATTTGAGCATTTTAGATTGCTGCAGAATTTACCAAGCGACGGGAAGACACACCACAGGCACTCATAATGTCAGGACAACACTTTATTTCAGGAAGCACCGGTGCTGAATGGCCCAGGGGAATTGGATTCCAAATCTGAGCTCCAAATGCGAGGGGGCTTTCCCTTTTATCCCCTTAATTTCTTTGTCTCCCGAATACGGACCAGGCTTCTGGACTTTTCACAGGCTTTGCAGCCCCTGTGGGTTGGAATGGGGGAAGTGAGACTACACCCAAAGGTCTGGCCTGGCTGGCTCCAGTGCCACCAACCCCTTCTGAGTTTTTATGTTTACAACAAAACTGCAAGAAAGGAACAGTGGTTTCTCATACACTCCCCATTCCTACACATGTACAACATCCCCTATCATAATTCTCCACAGAGTGGTACATTTGTCATAACTGATAAACCTACATTCACACATCATCATCACCCAAAGTCCATGCTTTACATTAGGGTTCACTCTTGGTGTTGTACATTCTATGTGTTTGGACAAATGTAAGATGATATGTACCCACCATTATCATGTCATAGCAGAGTATTTTCATTATCCTGAGATTCTTCTGTGCTCCACCTATTTATGTGCCAAGAGCTTCAAAAGTACTGGTATCATTTATACCATTAACAATGAATAAGCATTTCCAGTTGTCAGCACTTGGTGTCAGTGCTCTGGATTTTGGCCATTCTAGTAAGTGTGCAGTGGTCTCTCATTGTTGTTTTATTTGCATTTCCCTGATAACATATGATGTGGAGTGCATTTTTGTACGCTTATATAAATTTTTAACTGCCTCAATTAAATAGAAATAAACTTGGACAAGTACTTCAGATAACTTATTCCAATTGGTTATTTATTTACTAATTTCTTACAGAAGTTAACAACTAACGTGCAATAAGCATTTTAAAAAATAAAGATATCTTTTTGAAGTGAGTCACAGATTTTTTTAGTTGGTATATGTCCCGGGAAATAATAATGAAAATAATTAAAACTTTTCATTCGATATCCAAATATTATTTTACCTATTCTAAGGCTATTAGCACAAATCAATATTTAGCATTCAATTTTATATTTCACACATATAGATATATGATGAAATAACAATTTTCAAATTCTATGGGTTTAACCTATCTTTATAGACTAAGTCATTATCAACCCAGATAATGAGCATAGCACCTCAAAGAAAAATTACCTAATTTCATTCTTCCTCAGCTATAATTACTAAAACAATTATTGTAATATTGAGTCATATTTGATCTTAACATATTTTATATGCCCTGGGTTACATGGAATAATCCAATTCATCTTTTATAACATTAGGTCCCATATTTGAAGAATGATCATATCTCACTTTGATGTTCCTTACTTACTTTAATGATGTATGAATGATTAATTTCAGTACTAAATTTTTTCCTTCTAATTGACTCCACAATGTCAAAATTTCTTATAACATATGATCTGATGAGTACATAACAAAGCAGGATTACTAGTTCCTGATTTGGTCTTCATCTGTACCAATATAATCAAAGTTTGCATTAGACTTTGAAACTACTTTACACTTCTGGAACTTAGTGAACCTACTGTTAATTTATGTTCTTACAATTTCTGTTGTTGTTGTTGATTGTTCTTATCCTGGGTTTTAATTACTTAAGTGTGGAACCTAAATAATGGGATTCACATTCACCAGTCAATAAATGTTTATTGAGCACCTATAAAAATATCACGTTCTGTATAATGTTCTGAAAATACAGTAGTGAATAAATAGTCTCTGCTCTCATGGTGCTTAGAATATCAGAGAAGAGAAACATTACAAGCCTTGAGCATGGAATTATGTTATTTAGTTCAAAGATTAGAAGTGAAGTGGGGAAAGACACTCATGGTTTATTAGAATAATTCTACATTAATTCTTTTCTTGCTACATTTTTTTTCTCCTTAAAATATCATTTTCCTCCCTTTCCTTCAGAAATCCCCTATCAATTAAGTTCTACTGACACAAAATAAAATCTCATTCAATTGGGACATTAATCTATTATTATTATTACTGATATTCTGCATAAACACACTCTTCTAAATATGAATTATACAAAACTATGTAATTCATATTTAAGATAACACCTTTTATTTTAAGGGCAATGTGATAAAGTGCCTAATATTTTAGAAAGAATATTTTTTATTTTTTCTAACAATGTCCACCAGAAGAGTAGACATTATGATTTGCTCTATGCCTTTTATTTTATGGGCAGTGTGAATTTTGTTTCTAATGTATGTGTTTGTTTGTTTTTTAATTTGGTTCCCAGAACATCAGAAACAAATTTATTACTCAATTTTAGAATTAGACAAGGTTTTCAATGCACATTTTTGTGCTGACATCAACTATGGTTTCATTTTCTTTCTTATTTCCTTACTGACAAAGGCATAGATATAGAGTCAGACCACCTGGGTTCAAATCCCAATACTAACTGCTCCTCAATTTTGGAGCTTTGGGCATGTTCATTAGCTTCTCTTAGCCTGTTTCTTATCTGTAATATATGAGGATAACATTGGATTGACCATATATGTTTGTTATGAGTAATCAATGAGATAAAGCAATCAAATACTTAGAACACTACCTGATATATTATTTGTTTGTATATCACTATATTATTACATCATTCAAGTATTTATAAATCTACTCAAATTCTTTTTATATTGGAGTTTAATAAATAAATGTTAAAATGTTGTGACTTTCTTTATATGTAGCATTGAACATAAACTTACACTTCTGCCAAATTGATTTCCCAAAGTATATGTTAGATAGAGTCTACAAATCACTACATATAATATAGATTTATTTTATTTTATTTTTCATAAAATATTTAGAGAATTTAGTAAAAAACAAGAGAACCTGTGTTGATGAATAGCTTTGAATGATATGTAGTTGATACTCAGCAAACTTAGAGAAACTGCTTAAATAAATGTAAACTTCAAGATTTGCTAGAATTGAAATGGAATCTATTAAATAGGTAAATATGTCTTACAAAAATAAAAAATATCAATAAATGTGTAATTTTATAGATACTTAATCTTTTCAAGGAAATTAAGGTACTTTTTGTTCTATTGTGTGAGGAAGAATTTGAGTTTCAACCACAGAAGCAAGCATGTCCAGGCAACTGAGCATATGCGGAGGTGGTTGGCCAGGCCTCATTTCTGCAACATACTTCTCAAAGATGGATTAATCAGATTAACACTCTGGCTATGGAAAACCATTTAGGGCTATTAGGTCTTGTGGGGGATGTTGCATTTGACATTCCCTTTTATTTCTTCAAAGTTGGACCAATTATAGTACTGTAAGGAAAACATTTCTGTTGAAGCCTGGAACTAATGTTAAATTAGCGGTAACAAAAATTATTTTTATTTTCAATTTCTCTAAGCTTTATTATTTAAGAACCTTTGTATTATGCTTAGAGATAGTTTTGCTTGGTTTTAAATTGTCAAGGTTTATCCTTGACATTATGTTCGTTTGGCTGCCCATAAATACCAAAATTCTAGTGATGAGACTTGCTGTGTTTTTTTATTTTTTTAGCCTTGATATTTTGGATACCTTCTAGGTCCCAGCATAGACTGTAGGACATGTCAATGGGAAGATCCAGGGGAAGGAATTTTAAGAGAAGGAACCTTCCAAGTGAGGTCTTTAATTTACTGAAATATAGAAAGAGAAGACCAAGTTATCTGGTCTTTATTTTCTGAATGCCTCCTCATTCTTCTCAGGCATCCTTACCTATAGAAGCTCGTTAGCCTACATTGTCAGCCATGCTCTCTCTCTTTCCATGTTCTTCCTGAGCAAATTCAGACATAACTGCAACTTTCATTATTGCATAGTGCCCTTGTTTCTAATGATTGTCTATTTGGATATTGGAAACAACTCCCATGCCCAAGTCCCTACTAGTCAGTCATGAAAATCCAGCATACCTACTCACAAACCCACGCTGTCCCACCACAGCTCCCTCCCTCACCATTCATGGCGCCATCTCAGTCCCCTGGGCTTGAAACCATTCAGTCATCTTTGACTCATCATTCATCTGCTTCAGTCTTTGCATCTAATCAGTCATAAAATTATGTTGATTCTTCTTTCGAATTGTTATTTTACATCCTTTTCTTCTGATTCACGATCACATTGTCCCTCTGGATTAAACCTTCTTGATTTCATACTCAAATCATTAGATTAGTTTCATAACTGCCCCCTTCATCCTTTACTCCCTCTCAATCTTTCTGTACTAAGATAAACATGCTTTGAATAATTCCCTTTATCATCTTCATTCCTATTAAAAAAGAAGTGCCATTACTTTACTACATCAAACTCTAGCGTTGAATTTTCAGGCACTCTATAACTTGGTCCTTGTCTGTTTATCCAATTTTATTTTCTTTCCCTCTCAGCATGGTTCTCCTCTAGTCAGGCTATTTTTACATGTTCTTCTCCCACTCATGTCTTTATTCTGGATGTAGCAGGGAATAAAGGTTAAGAGCTTAGGTTTGGGAGCCAAACAGACCTGGCCAGGAACCCAGCTCCTGCTTCTGTCCTTTCCCAGCTCTGTGGTCTAAGAGCAAACTATTTTGTTTCCTAAACGGAAGCATTTAACTTATTGAGTATTAAACTAGATAATGTAGCTCAGTGCAGTATTTTATAACATGTGCTTAATAAATGTTATTGCAACTATATTTTTATTAGCTCCTCTCCTTCTGATACATGTTTCTTCTATCCCTTCACCAACTCCACTTGTCCCACATTTTTTTCTAAATTCTCACCCAAAGGTATGTTTTGTAAAATTATTTTTTATTTTATAGAAAGGGGGAGGGAGAGAGAGAAAAATCAATATGAGAGAACATTGATTGGCTGCCTCCCATATATGCCCTGGCCAGAATAGACACTGACATTTTTCGGTATATGGAAGGATGCTCCATCCAACAGCCACTCAGCCAAGGCCCAACTGGTCCCACTTTTAAGGCTCTGCTCAAAGTTCTTGGTCCCTCTGAAGCCTTAATAAACTTGTTTGTTTTTCCCCTCTATGTTACTAAAGAATCTACATAAAAATTTGGGGACTGAATTGCATATTGAGAGGATAAATATGAAGTGATATTTTGGAATCCAGAAGGCCTGGAATGTAACCGATTCTTCTAATAATGAGCTGAGGCCATAGTCCTAATCATTCTCAATCTTAATTTTCTTTTTTAAATTAAAATGGGAAAACTACTAACTTTTTCTGTTTAGAAGGTTGTTAGAGCATCAAATAAATTTATCTCAGAAACTTCCTGAATATTACATGTATAGTTTTCACTGCATATTGATTGTTAGGATTTTTTTTTTTCAGTTTTCTTGAGGTATAACTGACAGATAAAATTCTAAGACATTTAATGTATACATTGTGATGATTTGATACACATAAGCATTATGAAATGGTTTCCCCCATCTAATTAAACAACATATCTACCACATCACATCTCGCTCTCGCCCTCTATTGCTCTCTCTCTCTCTCTCTCTCTCTCTCTCTCTGTCTCTCTTTTTGGAGAACACTTAAGTTCCATTCTTAGAAAATTTCTATTATACAATATAAGGTTATCAAATATAGTCACAATATTGCACATTATATCCTGAGACCTTATTTATATTATAGCTGAAAGTTTGTACCCTGTACCAATCTCTCCTT